CACTGTTGGACAGAAGAGGTTAGAAAATGGATGGCTAGGCTATACACCTTTTGATCAATCACAAATTCTGATTCCTTTATACATTAAGATAAGGTTCTTCTGTGTAAACTATCACTGTAGCAGAACGATTTATAATGAGGAAAAGTTAAAGAAAAACCAACTAGCACTGCTGTTCTTTGTTGCCCTATCAGATTCCCTGTAACCGATTGCAAAAGACTGAATGCTGAACATGGAGAAGTTGCAAAACAAAACCAAGTTGGAAACATTTTTGAATTTTATTTCAATGAAAAGCTACAGATTTTAAACCGTAGTGGAAACGTTTCATATCCGCTCCAAATTCAGACAGGACGTTTGTCTCCGTGTTAGCTCTATGCATGCTTTCAATATTTCTCTCTCGTCTTGAATTACCTGCATCTGTCTGATGTGAAAACAATCCGGCCTGTTCGTCGGAGACCGAGGGATTATTTTCTTTACAGAGTTCTGCCATAAAGCTGAAGAGACACATGGCAGACAGAAGGGAACTCTATCATGCCAGTTGTGAATACTTAAAGTCTTTTTTTTCTGAGCTGATGTGAACTGCACAAAAAATACGTCTTCAAGCCACAAAATCATGGCTGCAGACAAAAGCCTCCACGCCCTAGACAGGGCGGGCGGACTGTGCGACAAGCGTCTGCTCTTTCGGCCCACATCCAGTCAGGAAGTCTGAGGCTCGTCTAGGATCTTTGTGGCAGCAGCACGCCGTCGTGCCTGGAGAGTTACAGTGAGGTCAAAGTGGAGGAAGCAGAGGTCTCAGGGTTATGATCTGTCTGTCCACAGAGGAGGCCTTGACAGCGCCTATGCTGAGTAGGGATGGGATCGGCCTTTCCACAGCAGAATGTCAAAATCCATCACAAGTAGGAGAAAAAGGCAACTCTGCTCATTTTCACTTGTTTTCCAGCTGTGTCGGTTACAAAAACTGAATGCAAAAGAACTATTGAAAAGAGTTTGAACTTGATTTTTACAGAAATAATAAAGAATATTGCATGTCTTCAGGTGTGTATTGTAAACTTTGGCCATAATTAGAAAAGTAATAAAACAGTTATGAAATAACAGCATTTTTGTGGCTTTAAATGAAAGCTAAGAATAGCAGCTTTTCCAAACACCTCGTTGGGAGCATTGAAGCTTACTAACACAGAAGCAATATGGAAGAATTTGCTTCGGTTTCGTCCAACATCCAACCTCACCTCCTCTCAGCAACTGTTTTTCTATGTCTTTTTAGCCTGATAAACCAGACTTAATGTGAGATTAAATGTGTAATTTAGTCTGGCCCCCGATGAATGAGACATCGGAAGATTGTTGATAAGAACAACCAGTTGTTTTTCAAACCGCTGTCTGTGCCTATTGGCCAACGTTCTGACCACAGGGTTCCTACAGCATAAGGCAAGTTAAATTCAAGACTTTTTAAGACTTTTTAATGCCACTTGAAATAAAAATTTAAGACCAAATT